ACATTCCGTTCCTCAGCATTACAAGCAAAATCTTCGCTCAAGTAATCCTCATGTGACTACAGATTACTGCTGGCAGCTAACCCTACACACAATGTCAGAGATCCGCTATCAACATGATTTTCTCACTTCAAGATCCTAGACAAGACAGGATGTACACCTACCCCCCCCCCCCCCCCCAACCCTCGTGAAATCTTTTCACTTAAACAAGCAGGGGCTCAGCATCCAGTCATTCAGCATCGACAGTGGAGAGTGAAGCAAGGCTGTGTGCATGCTCCTACACTTGCTGGTGTCTTCTTCACCTTCTCTTCATTAAAGATAGGCACTTGGGACTGCCACTGAAGGCATACAGCTTAACTTCATACAGGATCTGACAGCACACAGGAACATCTGGGACAGACGGTCAGAACACTTTCTAGACAAAGAGAGTGGGAGAACAACGGACTAACAAAAAGTTCAGGTCTATAAAGAGCACACAATACTATGGGTCTGAATCCTGGATCTTGTACTCATGGCAGGAACGAAAGTTCCAAGTCCTTTCACTTGAGACTTCTGACATGCACAATGGGCATATCACGGAAGGATCAGATAATAAACAAACAAGTGTTTGAAAGACCAGACATTATCTCACAGTGCATACGCTGCACTTTGCTGGCTCAGCAATGTAGCTCAAATGGATATTAGATGTATTCCCAAAGACCTCCTTTATGCAGAACTAGCTAAAGAGAAGAGGCAAACAAGGAGACCCCAAATGCGATACAAGGATGGCTGTACGCAGTTTATAAATGTCTTTTAACAGAAAAAGAATGGGATGCAGAAACATGGTAGCAAGTTGCAGTAGACAAATATTCCAGGAGAACAAAATGTGCAAAATGAACTGGTGCTCTCTGATCACAATCTGATCCAACAAGCGACCCAAGTATAAAATTCTGTCAACTGCTGCGGGACCTGCCTCATCTTACAGATTCAGAAACTGTGACAGAGAATGACACTCCCGCAACAGTTGACAGTTACCAGCGGTGCTGTCAGGTGCCTGCCGGATGATTCACAACTCTATAGTCATAAAGGACTGAAAGATACCTACTACTAGTATAGTGCTAATGTGCAAAACTATGTTACATAGTTAATGCACACAATATTTAATTAACTGTTGCAGAGTTAACTGCAATATCAGTATATATTTATAGTCTGTTCCAAAAATCATGCCTTCCAACTTAAACAAATGTGTTGAAAACTCCTGTACCGATCAACACAAATTCTTTCACATGGTCTTAGATTTCCCAAGTCCTAATGATTTCATAATTTAGAACTGTACAGGTGCTGCTGTTTTCTTACAGTGGCAAATGTCTTTGATCTTTTTTTGGGACTAATTATTTGTGAGCACATCACATTTTTTTAAACAGTAATTAACATAAATTGTTTACTTTTTATGAGCCAATCAATAAGCATTATGACAGTATATGACATATCCATTTCATTTTTCAAAATAAGCTTTTTTGTGTGTGTGCATGGATTACCTGCAAAATGCAGGCAATTTAATGTTTTGCCAGGTTCACCTAAATCCATTTATTGTAAACTTGCCCACTGTATATTTTGAATCTGAATCTGTTTGTTTTCATATACCAAAAATAATGCAAAATAATAATTAGATGTCTGTTTATATTATAGGTATTTTCCTACAAGGACATGATTATTAACATGCTGCAAGCCAACTTTCAACAATTTACACAATATGGTTACTGAGTTACAGATTTTAAAAGATGGTCATGACTTCTGGAGCAGACTATAATAAAAAAAAAATGCTCTAGCAAAGTTAGTTTCTAAACCACAACTGCAGTCTTGTGAAGGAAGCCGGCTACACAACAACACAATTTTACAAGTTTCCCTGAAGACACAAACTGCAACACAATAACTCTTTATCAAGGGTCCTGTTGTGTATGTACATGATCAATATGTAACAAACATGCCTCAACAAGTTTAATATTAACCTCTCTGTGTTTAGTATTCAGACATAATAATTTTTTTCTGCATAACTTTTTCTTTTGCCCTTTATATAAGCAGAGCATAAAGACTGAATAAACAAACTTAATTTTCACAGGGTCATAAATTAGGCATGCAGGAGCGCCTTACATTCAGCCCTTTATAGGTTTTAGGTATAGGCCTAAGGGACATAGACAAACTCCTCCTATCCTTTGCTATCGCATGAAGCACACCCCATGTCCCCCCCCCCCCCCCCCCCCCCCCAATCTTTTTAACTTTACTCTACTTTTTTTTCATATACTGGGGGGGGGGGGGGGAGATTTGGGGTCTTTTATTTCTCTGACCCTTTCAGTTTCAGTGCAAAGACACTCTTGTTACATTGTTTTTAGATTTTCTCAATGTGTGTCCTATCCATGCCAGCACTTTTTACCCTCATCATTTGATTCAACGGGATTCGTTTTTTTCCTCCAAAGCTCTACACTAGTACCACTAGTACTAATACCATTTAATTTCTTCAATTTTGCGCAAGCACCAGTTGACGAATGTTTGCAGTTTATTGTTTTTTTGTTGTTGTTGATATAACACAAAAAGAAAAATATAAATGAAAGAACTTAAAAAAACATGTGATATGAACAATCTAAAACTATGGTTGATAAGGAAAAAACATGTCTGACCGCAAGCAAATGCTGTTGTTTCTCCTCAGACAAATATTTTCTTAACTATTTCAGTAGCATGCTGCTTGTAAGTCCTAAATGCCCAGCTAGATTCAACTGCAGGTGACTGATTTGGCAGCGGACCCCTTTGCACTAATTCTTACTAAAATATAAAGCATTCACTGTTCATTAAGCTATAGCTAACTACTGAAAGTAAAACTGCCTAGTCAAACCACATACAGCAAAAAAATGCTGCAGTCGGCTTGTGACATCCTGTAAAGGATATCTATATATTAACTATACCCTCGCTATGTTGTCATTAACGCATAAGGCATTCACACGTGATTTCCACTGTTAACTCTTTGAGTCCCTACCTCGAAGCCCAGTGAACTCAAGATGCAGTGATTATAGGTTTCTCTTTACCACCCCTTAAGCCTTTGATGCTAAACCCTCTGGGAGTGAAAGAGTCAACTGCCAGTCTGATGCTTTTCTGCCAATGGTATCCCTTGTCAGTTGACTCTCCTTCATTTCCTTTTCTACCATCCTTTTCCATGTCTCCTTAGGTCATCCACATCTCCTATTTCAATCTACCATCCACACCAGAGAGCTGTTCCTGCCATAGCATTGGGAAGCACACTTCAAACATGCCCAAGCCATCTCTCCCTCTTCTTTCTTTGTTAAGTTTTGCCAGTGATGGACATTTGTTCTCCTGCCTAGTTTTTTATTTGTTGTCTTGTGTGAACAAAATATTTGCAGGATTCTCCTGAGACATATCTTTTGAAAAGTCTCTAATTTTATTGTGTTCTCCCCTCCTGCCCTCCACTAGAGAGCTCTCCTTGTCAACTGCCTGTAAAGAATCTGTAACTTTAAACTTTCAGTACCATCCAACTCACCAAATGTCCATTAATTAATCATAATCAATACATGGTATACGATTCCAAACACATTTTGTTATTTTTCTGTAATAATCCATTCTATTTCAAAGAGTTACACAACTTCTTCTGCCCTATGAGTAAAAGTGAAGGACCCTTTCCCATGCCTGTAGGCGTATTGGGCATATAGGGCTAGATCTATATTTTATAGACCAATCGGCACAAGATGGGTGATGTGGTCACCACGACCTTTTGATCTGCAGCGATCAATTAGCTGCTCCGCCACAGCAACTCCCCCTTCTGCCCTATGTTTTTGTTATTTAAATACTTTACCCACTACTCAGAGGGGTACTTTACGGTATAGTGGATGTGGTGAAGACTCTCTGATCTCAGCTAAGCAGTGCAGCAGAGCATCCAGATCTGGAGAGAATGATTCAGCCAGGAATTAGCAGAGGGTGTTGATGATCTTTTACCCGCAGGGAAAAAAAAAACAGGCAAACTTTTAAAAAGGTTGCAACTGACAGCATCACTATGCAAACTTCTCACTGGCAAATGAAAAAAAAAGTAGGGAGCACGTGTATGAACGTTCGGAGTGCAGCGATGTCAGCTCTTAGTTGATTCATTCACTCTATTAGTTATACCAACTAGGACTCAAAGACTGTAACTCTGTCGTACACAAACTCTGGAACAGATAGTGTTAAACTCTGGAACAGATAGTGTTAAACTGGCAACCGTCTGGAGGTGACAGAGTTCGTGAAGCAAATCAAAGAAGATGTGTGTTTGTGAGGAGGAGGAGACTGAAGTGCCTGTGTCGTTGTGAGGGTGGGGGGGGGGGGATGTGCAGGGAGGAGGCTGGAGTGTCAGTGTGTGGGATCAGGAGGTGGGGATTTGTATGGGGCCAGGCGTGGTTGTGTATATTCGAGGAGGTTAGAGTGTCAGTGTGTGTGAGTGTGTGTGAGTGTGCAAGGGTGTGAGGGGATTTGTTTCGGGCAGGGCGTGGAAGAGTTACAATGTCAGTGTGTGTGAGTGTGCAAGGGTGTGAGGGGATTTGTATCGGGCAGGGCGTGGAAGAGTTACAATGTCAGTGTGAGTGTGCAAGGGTGTGAGGGGATTTGTATAGGGCAGGGCGTGGAAGAGTTACAATGTCAGTGTGTGTGAGTGTTTAAACAATGGATCAACATCATGGCACAAGGGCAGTCACCCATAAATGCTCCGTTCTACTTCTAACTCAAGCCTGAGTCCGAAGAATCTGCGCAGTGCACAAACTCTGCAGCACCGGCAAGGACCCTGTAGTGGTGTGTGAGGGAATTGGGGTGGGGGTGTATGGTGCAGGGCGTGACATGTGTGTGTATGTGTGTTGGGGTATATGATGAGGATAATGTCTCTGTGTACATCGAGCCTAAAGGTGCATAGTCTTAAGGTGGAACTGAACCCCTCGGCCACTATCATCTAGTCTTGCAGATGGTAAAGCTATGCTGAAAATCCAAAGACTAGATCTTTACTCTTGTCCAAATCCCTCCGTCTCCTCAATGGCATAGTTAAGTTTCTCCACCAGTTGCTCGTAACTGCGATATGGTGGCAGATCTAACCGGTTGAAACAGGTGTGGGAGCGGGGCAGCCATGTTTCTTTACCAACTTTCTCAATACAGAATCTCTGAGGCCCGTTGCTCCCTAGATATGACAGAAAATGAAAAAAGGATAGTGAGTTCATTCCAGTAATTATTTTAGTAATGGTCACTTACAATAATGCTTAAAAAAAGAAAATTAGTAACCATGGAAATGATGTGTTTGAGAAAGACTGTAGGAGTGACCAGAAGACATAAAATCAGGTCACATGAGATAAAGTCGGCGCAGAACAAATTCTAAATTACATATAAAGACAGCAAATCAAATGGTCTGCCCACCTGAAGAGAATGCCTTCTGATGCTATACCACACAAGGCATATACCAAAAAAGGAGAGGGACGTAGAGCAAGAGGTAGACCAAGAACAACATGGAGAAACTCTACAGCATGATAATGTGTCTATGGTCAAAGCAGCCAGAAGAGCACGAAGCAGGACCTTCGGAAGTGATAAAAGAGGATGTAAAGAAGAAGAAGAAGAATGATAACGCAAAGATTATATTCGATAATTTACTGCAGGCATATTTCATGTTTATCCTATCAGAAGACACGAACTGGGAAATACTGTAATAGCTGGAACAATGGTGGTAGAAGAGTCAGAGGCAGTTTTGAAAGAAAAAAAAGGGGGGGGGGGTGACTATAGTTCAGCTGATATAAAGAGCTGAATTTACAGAAGTCAAAAGTGGGAATTCCTTTATAGATAAAGGAAAAAATAAACATTCTGACCAGTCTTTTTTAACCAAAAAAGCAGTAATCCTAAGTCATAATGATGAATCTCTGATGCTAACACAACTGCGTGACCTGGGAGTAAAGACTGGTGAAGCAGGTCTATACCATCTTTGAGACAGGACAGACAATAACCAACTTGATATGGGAAAAATCAGTAGAGGTACTTTGGAGTGGCTGCTATGAATGGAAGAGTCGCACAGGGAAACAGAGAGATTAAAAATCTCTTAAAGCAGTCTCCTAAAAGAAACATGTCAACTGGTTTGAGACAACAACAAAACAGCATCTCAGTAAGAAATAATATTGTCATTTATAATTCTTCTTCCTCTTCTTCTTCTTTTTCTTCTCCTTCTTCTTCTTCTCCTTCTTCTTCTTCTTCTTCTTTGCGGTCACCGGCTGTAAACTCCAGCAGAAAGTTGTGGTTTAAGTCCACTTCTGGAGTCTAGTTCCGTTTCAGGACCTAAGTATTGCGTGCACATGTTTTACAGTTCTGACTCATATTATGCAGACTGTTGGTTCCTTGCCTCTCAGGCAGATGCACTCAGACTTGGAAGGAAACTCCCAATTAGCTGACTCTTACGACATGCTTTTAGGTAGGCAGTGGGTCTATTCTTGTTTTGCCTATAATAGGGCCCCAGAACCCACACGGAGATACTCCCATTCAACTCCTTTAACTTTTTTCTGCCATACTTATATTTGCCCAACCAATCAGCACTCATCAATTAGTGGTGAATGAAACAGACTATGAATTAATGAATAAGGTTACTGCTTCTCGCTCTTCACTCGCTGTTTGCATCTTTAATGGACCCTAAGATTCATCATTAGTTTTTTTTATTTACTTTTAATTTTTTGTATTTGCTGTACAAAGGCAGACCAAACAGAACAAGGAGGAGATTAGAAAGTGAAGTGCTGAGAAGGAAACAAGGTGAGCTGCACATGATGAAAATGAATAGGACGACTCAATGTTACTTGGTAGAGGATCAATGCTCTACATAGGGAATGCAATGCAGGGGTAAAAAAAAAACTGCAAGGTGTCTCACGCTTCCATAAAAAAGAAAAATAAACACATCAACAACGCCATCAACATGTGTTTTTCTCTCCCTCCCCCCCCCCCCCCCCCCCCCCCTCTTTCCCGAATTTAAAAAAAATAAAACTAATTTTGATTTATATAATACGCTGTATATGACCACCTTAGTTTTGAAAACACATTTCGATACATGTCCTCCACTGCTGAAACACATACACGCACAGCTGGTGTTATGTTTGTTAATGATGTTAGTGATATGTTCATTTTTCCTAAGTAAGGAAACTTATGAGACACCAGGTATATTAATCTATGTTAACAACACCTACCCATGAGTTCAGCAAATCCACCCACTGGCAGGCGGCATGTGCCTGTAACAAACTGCAGCAACCTGGTTCGTTTCTCATTGTCTATCTCTCTCACCATCTGTAAATTATAATAGCACTCGTAAACTATATGTTAAACTGTACAATTGCCCGGCTCTCTAGCGTAGTTGGCTAAACCGGATTGTGCGGAGACCGGATGACGAACTCCTTGTGGTCTGGGTTCAATCCCGGGGGTAGGCAGGAAAACCACATTTTCTCCCAGATTTACTGTATTTATAATGAATCAAAGCAGAAAGGTTGCGATATCCATAATACCGTTAACAACTCATGGCTTCTGGATACTAAAACAACAAACAAACTGTACAATTCAACAAACCACGACAGTCAATATCAAGTCTTATTCTCTGTATTCCCCCAATGAACTGCATACTGTTTACACCAGGGTTATGTTATTCAACAATGTTTACTCGGGGGGAGAGGGGGTCAACATTTTGAAAATGGGGATCAACATGGGCCAGAGACCCAAGCTCCAGTATAGAAAGAACATTAATACAAAACAACTAGCAATGTTTTGCAGTATGAAGGTGGCTGATTAGTCCAATATGAGCCAGGACATTTTTTTGAGCAGTGCGGACAACAGCTGGAAGCCGCAGTAAGTGTGGGATTAGCAGTGCCATTCTTTCTAGTCTGCCTCCGTTTCTCTGCCTGTGCAACCAACACTGCCTGACAGGCTAATGCACCATGCCTGAGGGATGTACGCCATCCAGAACGGTCTTGTGCAGCAGCCTCCCATGTTGCTGTGTTGATGCCAAAAAAAATTAAGAGCAGTCTTCGGAGTATCCTTATTGTACTTTTTAATACTGTACTATATAGGGAGGCACAGGGGTGAAGTTTCTCCTCTCCAAAGCACAAAGCCGTACAGGATGAGTAAGCATTATTCACATTGTTTATTTACATATTGCGAGCCGCCATACTGCAGCCTCCAGACTTTCCCCTGCGGACCCAAAAGTCTTAGGTTCAAGTCCAGATGAAGACAGAGATTTCTAAAATAATTGACCCAGCCTTAAATGGGTAATAGGTAAAAGCCTTGGAAAGGAAGGCTGTCGGTGTGTGGATTGGTCCATAAAATATGTCTAGCCCTATATGCCCAATGCGCCTTAAGGGGTGGCTAGGGTCCTAGCCCTTTATTGACACATTGCAGTCATGTTGTAACCTAACTTACCTTCCAAAACCACACAACCTGCTTGCTGCTGCGCTGATAATGTCTGTAAATGGTGTTTCTTTCCCAGTCGTCGACATCAATTTCTTGCATACCACACAACATCAGCTGTAATATGTCAAAACCATTACAATTATCTCAACATCAATTTCTTGCATACACAACATAACATCAGCTGTAATGTGCCAAAACCATTACCCTTACCTTAACATCAATTTCTTGAATATCACATGTGAGTTGTAATACATCACGCTGTCACATTTATTTCAAAATAAATTTTTTTTTAAAAATAACAACATGTGCTCTAATATACCAAACCACTAAAAATATGTATCTAAACGCCAATTGTTCATATACATCATGAGTTATAAATATTTATCACAATTAATACAATGTCAATTTCTTGCATACCAAACAACATGCACTGTAGAGTTTCTGCGATGCTATCCTTCCACCTTCTTCTTAATCAATAAGCGATATGTAAATATGAGGGCGGATGTATAAATTAGTGTGTATGTAGGAGTGTGTGTGTATGCATATATATATATATATATATTTATATATATATATATATATATATATATATATATATATATATATATATATATATATATATATATATATTATATATGAATTATGTGTATTTAAGTTTCTCTTTGTATGGGTGTGTTGAAAAAGGTGGAGACAGACATGCTTCGTGCAGAGTGGCAAGCGTCACTTCAAAAGTCCTGGGTTGTTAGCATACTTTGGATTTTTTCTCCAGGTGTGTTGGGAAATGACCTGGCAGATAGACTGGCGGGTTCTGCACCACTTGGTGGTGAACTGATGTATGTATGACAAGCAGGATGTTGTGAGGGCCCTCTGGGAGCGAGTGAACAGTGCTGAGGAACAGATAGATCATTACGGTCTGAGGAGAACGGCACAGCGAGGAGTTACAAGGGGATCTGGCCGACGCTCGACACTCAGGGGAAAGGCGAGATGGATATACAATCAGACAGTTACTGGTACCATCGGAATTTTAACTCTTCGCTTGCTGCTGAAGATGGGGAAAGGGCGTTTATGGGGGTGTCCCGAGTGCTGCAATGTCGATTCCTGATTCAACAATTTGGATAGGTGTGTGTAAGTATGAGTGCACATATATATGTATGTATGCATTTAAATGTAGGTATTTGCTATCCATGCTTTTGTATTTATACCTTACACAATAAAAAGTATTTTGCTATTTAAACATAACATACTTTGCCGAAAAAACTATAAGTGATGTGCGAAAGATGAGCGTTTGGAAGGGCTGATGTAAGACAGGCCGGTAGGCCCGATTTGCTAACCTTTGAAAAAAAAAAAAGGTTTCATTTGTTTGTTCATAAGTTCCACCTTGAGCTCAACATCCCTCTCCTCTATGGGTAATATGCCTTGTACGGTAAGATATCACATGGCATTCTAGCCAAGTAAGCAAACTATTTTATCTGCAGTCTTTGTAATCTTTGAAAGCCTGCAATCTATATGGCTAACTACCCTTCTGGCCTAAGACAGCCCAAAACCTGACATCCCCGTCAGTTATAAATCACTCGTAAATGCTATACAGTTTAAAAAAAAAAAAACGCTTACTTTTCCTATGAAGCATTTTTTTTTTTTTTTTGTTAAGGGAAAGCCTGTTTGCCTAAAAACTACCAATGATACAGAAGCAAAAGAACTGTCAACTGATTGGTTGCACCCTAAGGTATTCTTGTATGGAATCTGAACAATTTTACTGGTTACATTTAAAAAAAATTTAATTCAAAATTATGACAACATTATGTTCCTTTCAGTAGCTGTGTTTTTTTTTTTTTCCAACTTAACCCACATTGCTGGCCTGTCCCAGACAAGCCTAGTTGACCCTGTTGCTCAGAGAAAGCCCACTGTCTGACTTGTACAGGGTTCTGATGACATAATGTCTTTGGGCACTGATTAATATGCCTATGTAACAGCTCTGTTACTGATTTCAACTGTATAGTGTGTAGATTTGGTGAGTATAATTAAATACATATTTGTGACATTATTTGGGGCGGAAAAGACTGTTTTTATCGTCTTTGTTTTCACTGTGATATCATGATACACAGGCAAGGACATCACACTGCTCTCCATGGTTGTGTCATAAAAACCTGTTTTTTTCGTATCTTTCACATTTAGAAAGATTTGATTGCTTTCAAATTATTTATTCTTACAATGCTTACCTCCAGTTCCCTTTCATCAAAGTACTGCAGCCACTGTAAAGGCACAACTTCATTAAACCCTTCCAGAAAAGCCTTTGTCTGTTCTTCTACTCCTCTTGTAAATCGCCAGTTTGTCATCAAGCTAAAAATAAACGCAAACAAGTTTGTTCACATATATATACGTCAATATCACAAATTGATGGCATTATGAGGGCTAACAGACTGCTATAGCTGTAGGTAGACAGAATGACAGATTAAAATCTGTGTACAAAAAAAAAAAAAAAGGAATTCAACTATGTAATCCTAATCTCGGTTGTTATAACTGCCTATTAAATCAAAAAAAGTAAGTAAAAAGATCTTTGTTTAGGGCATGTGATGCTAGAGATATTTAAAAAAACCAGTAAGCACCCGGTGGGAGATGTGGTCAATATCATGCTAGCTGCCTTCATTTCCCAGGTCACTGCCTGGTAGCAAATTAGGCTAGGCCAACCTGGAAGCCAAGGTCAATTCACAGTCGAACCCGGAACCTCCAGGCCAACAGGCGAGTGTCTAACCACTGCTCTATCGATAACAGTCTTACTATACCACTTCTTAGGGTGGTGCATGGGTAAGTTTTAGCCTTATGATTTACGGCCAAACGGCTTGTAGTGTTGTCGCTATTTTGCAAATTAATAAATTATGTTTGCCCCCAGACATAAAAATGAGAATTTGCACTTGACTCCTAATCTGACAGCCTAGCATTTAAACCGCTCAATCAAATACTACTCATTTAAACTGTTGATATACTTAATGTTCCTTATGCATTTAATGCATGTGTGTGCTACAGACTTTGCCTAGACTGCAGTCCGTTTCTACTATTTTTACAAGGGAAACTGTGTTAAGTTGAGTCAAGAATTGACATCACAACACAGGGCATTCCCATGTGTACTCCATCCTCATCTTCAGCAGCCAGCGCAGAGTTCCAATATTGATGGTACCGATCACAATCTGGTTACATGTTTGTCTTACCTTTCTTCTGAGTGTAGTGAGCTGGCCAGACCCTCTGGTTACACCCAGGTGCCTCATTCTCTCCAGGCCATAATAATCTTGTTTCTCTACTGATTCCGTTGCATGTTCCCAAAGGGCCTTGTTATGTATCAATTCACCACTCAGTGGTGCAGATCCAGCCAATCTGTCTGCCTGTTTATTACCAGCTACACAGGCATGGCCTGGATAAAAGATCCAAAGTGTGCTCACTACCCGTGACCTTCCCAGTGAAACTTGCCACCTGGGAAATTGATGGATCTTCTGTGTGGTTCACCAGCAAAGGAAAGAAAGAAATTATGGGGTGACCTGTCTGCCATGAAACTGAAGCTGCAACTAACGAATAAAGATATGAAGATGCTCACTTGATGTACTCTTCCTTGTTTTCTTCTGTGACTCTGATCTCACTACCTCCAGGCTTCAACTCATGTTGCTCAACCTTGCCCAAGACTTCAAAGTCAGCACAGAAAAACAGCTCCAAACCACATTCATCAATGTTGTTCTCTCTGGATTAAAGTAAGAGAACAAAATATAACATACCCTGGTAAAGTATGCATACAATATCTAATTATACGGTAAAACCTTATTAATATGAACTCGCTTAAGAACAACTAGTTAACATTTAACATTAATAAAGCTTTGGTCGTAGCAGGGATGTATTAATGTTATTAGTCCACAAATTTTTGTTGATACAAACTCAATTTTCAGTCCCTAGGAATTCATTTTAACGAGGTTTTACTCTTGCCATCAAAAACAGTATAACATTTCGTATAACACCTAACTTACTTCCAATGCATTTACTTATTCGTGTTCACCTGCTGTAAATTCATGCAGTAAGTTCTGGTGGTTCAACCACTTCTAGACTTTACCCAGAACCTGAGTGTTGCATGCATATCCATTTTACAGATCTAGCTTATTTGTAAGCAGATTGCTGATTCCTTGCCTCTCATGCAGATGTACTCCGATTGTGAAGGAAACCCCCTATTAGTCCATTTTTTCAACTTGCTTGCTGGGGAGGCAGTGGGTCTATTCTTGTTTTCCCCACAATTGGGCCCTGGAACCCACAAGGAAACAATGCATTTTAGCTTAAAAGAACAAATACTCTGGTCTGAAGGGGCTTAACTGAGGCATTACCAGACAAAAGTAAATAAACTGGAACAACCCATGAAGTCAGGCCCAGAAAGAGAGCGACCTGCCTTGCCATTTATCACTGGCCATGTTGTAGGGCCTGTCATATGTTGTGGGGGTGTCAAGTTTAGTGAGCATCCAGCAATCAAGGTATTTTATGAGCCCTACGACATTACCAGGGATGAATGGCAAGGGAAGTCACCCTCTTTCTGGGCCCGAGTTAGTGAGGTGTACCAATAAACTAATAATTCAGACACAAGGGTTAATATACCATCTGTCTGTTACAGACAACAGCATGAACACATTATTTTTGAAATGACCAAGAAACATACAGTGAGTTTTATCTGTACTGAAAAAGAGTTAAAGTGATCTGGCCATACAGTATCAGACCTAACAAAGAACAAAAACGCTGGTCTCAAGGAGTTAAACTGAGACATTATGGGGCAGAAGTTGAATAAATAAACTAATAATCCAGATACAAAGGGTTAATAAGACATCTGTCTGTGATAGAAGACTGCAAGAACATCAAACTATCTTTGAAATGACCAAGAAAAATAGTTTTTCTGCACTGAAAGAGTTAAAGTGCTTTGATCATATAGTATTAAACTTAAGCCTCAGGAACTAAATTGGCAATTTGGTCAATATTATCCTAGCCACCTTTACCTCCCCAGACATTTCCTGATACCAATGTTAGCAGTGTTAACCTAGGGCCCAAATCTATTGTTAACAATTAATCAATGGGGATTTGAACGTAAGACTAATGGATGCTAGCCAGTGTAGATTTCCCTATCACAAAACAGGATACTTTACCAACTTTCACATTTGCTATAAACAAAAATAAAGAAGTTGCTATGACTAAGGACCTATTCAAAAGCATATGCATGTGGAAATAGGATGAGTTACCTACACACTAACATCTTCCTTTATCTAGACCAGTAGTTTTCAACCAATCTTGAATTGAATGCATTTGTACTTGTAATAATCTATTATAATAAAACATTTTCTTCAGTTTAACTATTTCAACAACAATTTTTTTTATAAAGTATTTCTAAATTTTAAAAAAGCCAAAAACATTTTTGCTTTCAATAAAAAACTAAATAACAGGATAACTTGTGAATTTAATTACAGACTAAGCTCTCCCTGCTCTGTGTGTGTGTTTGGAGGGGGAGCTGCAATATATTCAAAGAGGGAGCCAAATGAAAACCACCGATCTAGACCTTGTACTGACTTTCAGCGTCTGGTTCTGAAGAGATATCTGGAGCAAACCTTGGTGTGTATGCTAAGTAAAGGCTTGGTATTCACATCCTCATATATCCATCCCTAATGTTAGTTAGCTACCAAGCCCAAAATAACATTCTGATTAGGACTTGAAGGAAACTTACTTGATCCACAACAAAGACTGGTAATATTCAGGATCGATAGACTCTAGATCTTTGATGACCAGCTTCTTGTTCAACATCCTCTTGTAGAAAGGAAGTGTGAAACCACTGTCGATAAACTTGCCATGGTACAGCGCCTGTCAGTTCCAACAATGCATCAAAAGTGTAAATGAACATGTTAAAACAATAGGCAGAGCTATATTGTCACTAGAATCACAAATCCGGCCAATGTTCTTGTGCTTCCCAAGCCACGTGGCCCAGCCTTTGAAAATGTATCTCTCTGTCTTTTTTAATACACACACAAACACAGGAAGCGGGGGTGGGAGTGGTTGGGGTGATTCAAATGAAAACCTTAAAATCGTAATGGAAATTACAATAACCATGCCCTTATTTTATAACCTATCAATTATGTTGTAAAGGATGTCAAGAGTGTTAATCACCATGTGCAGACTAACATAGTGTCTGTCAGTCCAGTAACAATATGAGTGGAGTAGGAAGTTTAAAAAAAGTGTGACTTCTGTGACAAACTTGTTTCCTCACAGTGGAGTGACTAACCTGATCAAGAAATGGGTAACAGAACACTGCTCTGCTCTAGTGCATGTCAAAAGTGGGGTAGTCCTCTTTAAACTATCATTCTGATGTCATTATGCTAGGTGTAAAAAAGAAAAATTGACTTACGAATAATGAGGATATCAGGCAGAGAGTCGACACAGAACCATTAATGAACTTTATCGGTAGACAACAGATCAAATGGTTTGGCCATGTAATAAAAGTGACAAGTACTAAATGTGAAGCGAACAGAAGGGTCTGTTCCAGAGATCACTTTCTGTCCTGATGTATTGAGGCATTCCAGAAGTAGAGTGAAGCAGAAGAAGAAGGTAATGATATCACTGTGTTCATATGTACCACGATGTCATGTGCTTAACATTCTTGACATCCTTAACAACAATTATGACAGGTTACAAGAAAATTGGCATGGTTATTTCAATTTGTATCACTTTAAAGGTTCTAACTGAAGCCCCCAAATACATAAACCTTTCTATATTCTCATCATCATTTTCCTTTTGTGCTGTTATATCTCACATAAGGTTTGCAGTATTGTCATCCATTCTATTCAATCCTGTGCAGTCCTACTAATACCATGGATGGAATCCACCCCGGCACCATTGGCCTCTCTCAAACACTTCCATCTCAGGGTTTCTTTCGGATGTCTTCATTTCCTCAATTCATTTGTTTCCCATTTCAGTGCACATTTTGTGGTTCTATGTCCGTTCCTCCTCATGATGTGCCCAATATATTGCCATCTTATTTGTTGTATAATTGATCTTCTTCTTCTTCTTCGCGTTCACCGGCTGTAAACTCCGGTGGAAAGTTCTAGTTGTTCGTCTACTTCTGGACTGCAGTCCTCCTATTTCAGAACCTGAGTGTTGCGTGTGCATCCGTTCAACAGATCTGACTAATCTGTATGCAGATTGTTGGTCCTTGCCTCTCAGGCCGATGCACTTCAACTTCGAAGGAAGCTCCCAATCAGTCGACTCTTACGACATACTTTTGGGTAGGCAGTGGGTCTATTCCCGGAACCCACACGGGGACGTATACTTGATAATACAACCAGTTGTCCGCATATTTCTCTTATTTTTTCCACCTTTGTTAAATTCACCCCATATACCCAGGCATTCATTTTTTAATGCATTTAACTTTCATTCCATGTCTTTAGTGGTTCTCCAACAAGTATCGGCACATGTTAGGACTGAAATAACATTGGAATTTATAATAATGTCAGCTGGTCTAAAACTATAATTCAGAGTTCCATATTTTGTCAGACTTTGAAAAGCTGCTGTTGCTCTGTCAATGTAGCATACTTTCTTTCTCTCTGTTTCTCTTGCAATCAAAATTGCTACCTAAATATGCAAACTAAAATGTTACTTTAATTTATTTTGTCTCCATTATAACTTCTGATAGATCTATTACCGATGTCTTCAGAACATTGTCTGCATAAATTATTTGTAATCTGACCCTTAAAATTATATTTGTTGAACACCTGCATAAATTAAATGAAATTGAAATAAATGAGAGAAATCATGAACATAAAATGGGATCATTTAAAAAAAAAAGTGAGATGATCAGAGAAATGTCTGGACAAATACCTGTACTGACTGCAATAAGACCACACACAAAAAGGTGGAGATATAGTAGGCACTCTGAGAAAAATGAGCAAAGATTACAAGACAGGCACAGAGACAATGTTGAGAGGTGAGGTTAAACAGTCATGAGCAGGATGTGATGATCCCTTAGGCAGCCCAGTACCTGAGCACCATTCTTCCTCTCAGACTGAGACAAAGAGGACGTCCTAGGAAAACATCTAAGAAGAACATTATTACAAGAGGCTAAAAATACTGGGCTGAATTCCATGTCAGAAATTGAGAGAGTTGCATGCAACTGTGTGGAGTGGAGGAATTGAATGCGAGCCATATGCGACGACTATTGTCACACAAAGGATGATGATGATTTACACACACACATACAAATAAAAAAAAAACAATGGATCTAGCAATACAAATATCTATCTCTGCACACTAGAAAACTGGTATTTTAGGCGCCACACTATATCAGTCATTAAGAGAGTCTTAGATTACATGTGACTGACAAAACTAATATACAAACAAACCAATCAGAACTTGAGGACACCTGACAGACACACCTACCATAGCAATAAACCGTCCAATGAACTTGAAGTACTGCAGGTGGTCAGGATTGATACTGGAGGCTGGGTTAATCTGCAGACTGTAGTTGTTGGTGCTGGCATACTCAAACAGACAGTACATGGGGTTGAGGACCTCGTGGGAAACATGAAAGAACCACTCCCTGGAAAAGAACATACATTCATACAAAATTTAAAACAAACATAATAAAGTTTCTTTCAGTCATTTCTTAATAAGAAACTATAGTGGACTTAAAAGTCCACGGCAATAAAAGTCTAAATTGTATAGGTTCAGTTGAATTTTTGTGAAATTGTCACACAGTCTGCTTTGTTTTGGTCTGTCAGCACTTTTGGCACCAACTTTGCACACACTGTTCGCATGCCCAGTTCTTCCGTTAAAAAATTTTGTTGAAAACTTGTGTTAAGGGCAAGTTCACTTTCTCCGCGATTAATCGCACACACTTGCGTATATTACTGTTCAAATTGTCCTGCACACGGTCCATGTTTTCCTATGTTTTGGTTGTGGAAGGTCAACCCATCCGTCTCTCGTCCTCAAGATCTTCTCTCTCCTCCTTGAAGGACTTATGCCAGATAAACACTATCGATTACCTCAAATATTGACGTATAAGGTCTTTAACATTCTCAGTGGCTCTGCCCTGGATTTTTCGAGTCTGATGCAAAATTTTATTGCATAACGCTGTTCGAAGGAATTCCTTTTTTTCCCTCAAAAAAATGTCACTCATCGTACAGGTATTCACTACTTCCATGATCCACACACTCCAACTGCTTGTCGACAACTAGGACTGGTTGCAACGCATAGCTAACACCTCCCACCACAGATTACCCACCCATGGTGCATGTGCGTTTGTCCAAATACTCTCAAAACAAACCCTGTATTTTTAGTTTTGGATTTCTTTTTTCCGTAATAAATGTTTAATAGATGCAGTACAATACATATGAGACATTTGTAAAGTTCTGGCCTGTACCAAGAGGTAAGAAAATATTAATAAGACTGGGTTTGGTATAAAAATGGTGTTGTTAATGATACTAGTGGGGTAAAAACTTGAGTATTTATAGAACTCTGGCATACCTGGCCTTTATTTTTTTTTTTTTAATCTAGCCTACCCTTTCACCACATTGGACCGGATATTGAAGAGTCTACTGTTTCACTATTTGAACATGTTTTAAGATGGTCAATTTTTACAACCCTTACTCTTAAGTTTAAATTGACTCTTTCTAACGACTGTAAAAACAGTCCGCAGTCAAATGGGGATGATTATTTTCAACAATTCTCCTCAAGAACCTTACATGTCAACAATCCATTAGCAGTTAAAAATGATTCATAATCAGTCAGAACTGCAAATGGCCAGGCTTATCTTTAATGTTTTCATGTAACAAGATCTTGGGTTGAACACAAGAGGGGTGAAGAAATACAAGAAATGTCTGGGCAACCACTGGTAACAACAGTTCTAAGACACAGATGGCACTATATTTGACACACACATCCTGAGAAGCAATGAGCAGAGAATCACCAAGCAGGCACTAAAATGAGAAATACAGATGTTGATGAGACAGGAAAAAACTGCTGGACTGGACTCCATCCATAATAATAAACAAAACAGGATGGAGAATAGACTGTGAACTCTATGTGATATATAACAGCATTAAAGGACAATGATGATGATGATGTAACAAGACCTCCCAGCAACTCCAAAACAATACTACAGGGCTCAGTGGAGGAGAAGAGGCAGACCTAGGAAGACCTAGATAAAATATATGGTTTAGTGGAACGGCCTTATAAACATGAAGTCCATCACATCTGACCCACAGAGACGAAAGGAACTGATCAATTAACAACAACTGGTGACTCAATGACAACCCTGCACTATAAGACCACGATGAACTGTAAATGAATCAACTCTACCCACCCTAAAATATTTACAGAAACAACTTGTACATAATCGACAACTCACCTTGCCAGGCCGCCGTAGTCTAGACCTTCCTCCCCTTTGAAAATTATATACAGTCTTCTCCTCAAGTCAAAGGGCTGTAACCGCATGATCTATTAGAAAACAACAGTTTCAATTTCAAAGCAGACATGAGCTTGAAAGGTAGATATAAAGCAACAATAGGATGACAAGGCACAATGACAAACAAGTAAAACAATGTTTTCCAGTAATGAATTTAAATAATGTGGACACAAACAATACACTGTACTCATTACTGCTTGGCAGATTTCACTGTATCTCGTCCAGAAAGCAATGGCAACACATCATCATGTGCTCTACCGACAAGTGTAGGTGGTTGTATTTTTCCGTCTAAGATTAGTCAGTGTTCTTGTTAACACCCCAGGCATAAGGCCAACCCATCCATGCATTTATCTCTGTCTTCCCTTTGCTCTCTTTACATCAATCTTGCCAGGTGTCCCCCAAGTTCTCGAGGCCACTCATTCTCATAATATGTTCCACACAAAAAAGACAACAAAGACATCTAACTTGTCTCATAAGTTTATGGTTTACACGTCTGGAGGAGTATCACCTTGTTTGTCTTACCATTCCATATTCTTTGCACATGTCTAACAAAACACCACATCTCCGCTAAAAGTAAACTTCTCCTTCTGCCCTTTATGCCCCAGTGGAACATAGGCCCACAACCAACTCACGCCAAGTCATTCTACTCTTTGCTATTGTAAGCAGCTCACCTCATGTCCTCCGTATCTTTTTAACTTCCCTCTCTAATCCACACTTCATTTTTTTTTAAATCTACCTTTATTTCTATCGGACAAGGCTCTAATATCCCAGGTGCTAATTCTGCAGATTTTCCTAGGTAAAAAGAGGTCCATTGACAATCAGGACTCTTTGTGGCTTCTACAAAACGCATCATCATTTTTTTATTAGAAGAGCTTCTCCCTTCCCCTACCACTACCACGCCCCCCCCCCCCCCCTTAAAAAAAAACTTGGTTGGCTGGACATTACTTGTTTCCTGAGGTTAGTTGGTAAGTAAATGTAAAATTGCCTAGTAAAACCACACAACAGTTAATAAATGCTGAGGACTGGTTTGTGATGTCCTAAAAAGGATACGCAGGAGGCATAACTCTTTTATCCTGTACTGCCGATATTTCGACATCCCTATCCATTTTAAATCGCTGTTAATGCTAGAAAAACACACACACAAAACTGCACTGTTGTACTGGAAGAATGAGAAAGAGCACTGCTTCCGTCTGTATGTGTGCAGTGTTAATGAGGCCCAGATTTCATTATATATATACTTAATACAGCATTCAGGAGGAAGCTTTATTGTAAAGTAAATGTTTTTTTTTTAAAAACCCATTATAAAGTCATAATTTATCCTTCGCCTTAGTGGTATGGTATGGTGGCCATGGTATGAGTCACACAATATATTTTTAAGGCCTAAGGGAATGTAATCCATTTAATTCTTCACCCTAATCAAGTTTACTGATTACTCCACTTTAAATATTTCCACACATACACAAAATTCATGGTGTAAATAATAAACAAATACATTTTTAAAAATTGTATTAGTGACCTTGTGATTTTACAAAAGAATTTTTTCCCAGAGATTTACAGTTTGTGGGTCTTTTTCCTAAAGGTTTCTGCTGTGACATAACTTTCAAAACAAGCTCACCTGAGCAAAAGAATCTTCAAACAAGTTATCTCGAGACACTGTTATCTTCACATGACCGGGGAGGGAATTTGAATGGCACAGATATCGAAACTGACCCAACTTCCACCGAAAACTTCGTTCATATTGTATCGGTACGCCATACGCCCCTTTCGGCCTGTTGAGTATCAAAAAGAAATTAGTATCAAACAGAATTAAGTATGAAGCAAAGTTTAATCTCAACAAATCTTAAGTCCTTAGTCTTATCACTATAGATGTAAGTGCATGCCTGAAGCGCTTGGCTTCGAATAAGTCTGATTTTATTTATAACTGACCTTGGCTTCCAAGATTATGGACTGGAAAGAATGAGGCACCTGGGTGTAACCAGAGGGTCTGGCCGGCTCACTACAATCAGAGAAAAGGCAAGACGGACATATAACCAAATTGTGACCGGTACCATCAGTATTGGAACTCTGCGCTGGCTGCTGAAGATGAGGACGGAGAACACATGAGAAGAACCAAAGTGCTGTGATGTCAATTCTTGACTCAACTCAACTGGCTGCCAAGCTGATTCATACTAAAATGGGTGCCAGGAAATGTCCAGTGAATCAAAGGTTTTAAAATATAGAATTAAACCCATCTACACGCTGTGTAAAAAAGGCCATTTATTTACTGTTCACTATACAAAAAAGTGAACATGTGTTACCAGATGAGGTTTAAATGTCCACTACCATTGGCCTCACTCATTGAAGTGTCAGAACCAAATGTGAAAGCCACGTATGGTGCATGCTTTTCTGATACTGTCATGCTAGGTTAACAATGTTAAAGGTGTCTAACGTTCTGAAGGAGACTGTGCCCATCTGTGTGGTCATCGAAGTCCCTGACCTGTTGATCTCCAAAAAGTGCATGCAGACCATGAAGATTGGGACGCTCAACACATTGATGTGAGGTTAAGCAGTCATGTGCAGGATGTGATGATTCTTTGGTTGAGCACAACACCAGTGTCATTTCTCAGCTCTGCATGCCTCCCTGGATGGCGGGAAATGCACATGATCTGCTCCTGTCTTCACCTGAGGACCAACCAGTCTACATGCTGTTGCCGTGGATGGGTTCTCCATGGGAAACACCTGCAGATAAAGGTACCAAGAGGACACCGCACAAATAAAACTATGTCGTGTCCCACAAAACCAACCAAGACGGCTAACCCGATAAAGTGGGAGGTGTCAGCCCAAAGATACAAATATCGCAGCTGTGCAGTAAACAGGCACAACGCAATTAAGTCACCAAGACAAACAATGGAGAAGATGAAGAAGAAATTCACATCAAAGTGAACTGACCTTTACTCTTAGGTTGCAACAAGAACTTAAGGCCATAAGAGGTGTCGCCAGACATAAATGCTATACTGGAAGCCAAAAAAGAATAGTAAACCAACACAAAACTGGCATTATCACGCGGAGGGATAAACTGAAGATGGGATCCTAGCGCTTATGGACTTGTCAGATGTGCAGTGACAATAATCTTTCAATGAACTAGCTAACTGATCAAGATCTGACTACCCTTTTCCGTAGTCATCCTAGAAACAGGTTCCCAACTGGGAACCTTGTCAGTGCAGACAGGGTCGACATTTCCATCAAAGTTGTAGTGCATCACCCTGGGAGAAAAGGAACCAATATCCTGGTACAAACAATTAAGTTAGATCTGTATAATGGATGTGCATGCAATACTTAAGTCATGGATCCAGAAAAAAAAACAAGAAGTGTATACACAACCAGGACTTTCCACCAAAGTCTACAGCTGAGAAAGAGAAAACAAAAAGAGGAGAAGGAGAAGAAGAAGAAGAGGAAGAAGAAGAAGAGGAAGAAGAAGACAATGAAAAAGAAACTCCGTAATGAGTGCACTCACCCTTTCTGTGGTCCTCCTCGAGGGTCTTGGAATGTAGTTGTTCTCGTATTATGGTCAACAAAATATCTGACTCCTTCAGCTGTGTACCTCATTTCCCAACCCTCAGGGAGTGGATCCTCTTGCATAATCCTATACAACAAATGCAGCAAGGTCAATCACCAGTTATCAGTTAATCAGATAACTCTTTCAGTAACAAAAAACGCATCATACGCTCCTAGAAGCCCATTGAATGCATGACGTGCCTGTTTTACGTCTCTCTTGACTATCCATTGGGCCTCTGATGCTATGCACCTGCGACTCAAAGATTTCATCGCAGTTGCAAGTTCCCGGCAAGCAGGCCACCCCACTATTGCTCCATTCCTGTGCCAGTGAAAATTACACAGAATACCCAGCACTGTCCCGGGTGAAACAGACTTCAGTCGCGACAAAGTTTTCAGCATATACATGCAATAAATGCATAATACAGCCATGATAAGTGCCAATACAGGCCACCACTAGAAATGTATGCAGTTCATTATCTAGGAAAATAGTAGTTACAACTAACAAGCTGTTGAACAGGCAATCTCCCATATGATGGTTTGCTGGAAAAAAAGTAATCAAAGATCATGTTCAACCAGCATCCCCGAAGGGGGAGATTTAAGTTATAATTGTGACTATGTTATGTGCGTTATATAAAATGACTACACACTACCAAGAGCCCTGAAAAGGACTCCTGCAGTGTTGATGCGGTCAAAGGAGACAGACCCAAATACTGTCCAGAATGGTGATGAAGTCATCAACCGACGAACCACCAGAAGTTCTGTGATAACAAGCCACTAGCCATTTTCTGTATCTGCAGTTCACAAAACAAACCACCTTGGGGACAGTCAAAAAGCTGCTCAAAAGAAATGGTCCCTCATAACTTTCTCTATAATATCATTATTAACCAATCAAGAGCCGCAGGAGTAAAACTGAAGGATTCTTTTCACTCTCATATTTTTTTACAGACCAATCAGTATTCAACGAATTCTCTGATGCTACCATTACTGTATGACTGAGGAGTTAAACTTGGTGAAGCACATCTATGCCGTCTCGAGGTAAAGACAGGATATATTATAACCAATTTCTCATGGGAACAATCCGTTCAAGTACCTTGGAGTGGCTGCTGCATCGGAGGACTGAGCACGCATGGAAATGCCCAATGTGCAAAGACATTGATTGCGATAATAAAACACAACACCTGATCTGACATGATATGTGAAAAATAAAGAGTTAATAATACAAGACAAATGAGAAAATGCACAAACAAAAGCTGATTCCACATGGTGTGTGAGAAAGAAAGAGTTAACAATACAACCCAAACAGATGCCAAATTGTATAAACAAAGGCTGATTCCACATGGCGTGTGAGAAAGAAAGAGTTAATGATAGGCTGATCCCACTCTGTGTGAGAAAGAAAGAGTTAATGATAGGCTGATCCCACACTGTGTGAGAAAGAAAGAGTTAATGATAGGCTGATCCCACACTGTGTGAGAAAGAAGGAGTTAATGACAGGCTGATCCCACACTGTGTGAGAAAGAAAGAGTTAATGATACAACATAAACAATTGTCCACATGCACATACCCTTGGGTTCTGGGGTCCTCCCACTGTGTTGTACGGTTACTGTGGTTTACAAAGTACACTCTGTTGTTGCTGTCTACTCTTCTCTCTGAAAAGATTACAAAAAGATTAGATTAACAGAGATATAAAACATTTACATTCTCCTTCTGTCTTTAGTCTCCAGATGGAGTAAAGGATTTCAACAACCTCACCTGCTAACCCCTTTACCCAGGTACAAACGCACAAGCGCACATAGGCACGCATGCACACACACACACACACAAAATGGATGATGAACTTTACTGGAATTCCAGAAAAAAAATAATAAACCAACAACTTTTCCATACAGGTCACTAATAAATTTGTAACAAAAATATTTTAATTTTCTACATTTTTTACACTGGTGTTTGAAATATATAAAGATAAAGTACATAAAGGTCCCTTTTCCACGCCTTTAGGTAAATTGGAAATATAGGGCTAGATATTTACAGACCAAATGGCACTTGGTAAGTGATGTGGTCAGCATCACGCCAGCCTCGCCTTTACTTCCCAGGACTGAACCTGGTACCCACTAAAGGCTAGGTCGACCTGGGAGTCAAGGTCATTTATGAAAAAAAACCACGACAATTCGATCCACAGGCGGGCGTCCAGCCGCCAACGCCACGGCGAGAAATATATAAAGATGTATGAAAAAATAAGTAAACATGAACAGGGTGAAACACTACATCAGGCACAGTTCTTAGGGCCTCAGAAACATATGGAGTGGGTGGTTCCTGCTGTGATCTCTATCACTGAGGCTTACAGCACAATTTGAAATAAATTTGGCTTCAAAACAGTTATTTGGCTAACAAATAAAAAATAAAACACCCTCTAAATGCTTTTGTTAGTTAATGTATGCATATCCTGACCTCCTAAATATTTGCATAGCATGAAAACAGCCAATATAATTAGCTACGTGTTTTGTAACCAAGTTACTAAAGATGAGTCAGAAAAGTGACATTTACGGGGACTTGGACACAACCAGAGGTGTTGGTTTTGCGACTTGTCGAGACAAAAGGGTTAATGCACAATTGTAGTTTATTAATAACTGTTGTAATAATTGTTCATGCTTCCACTACAGATTCAGTGTTAATCTGACATTAGGGTTCAATCAATCAATCAGGTTGCATTAGGGTTCAATCAATCAATCAGGTTGGCTGCACTGGGTCCTCAACACGCTCTTTTGCCCTGGTTGTATACTCTCTCAGACTGCTTCCCGTCAATCTCTTAATGTTTTCCTCCCACTTGTATCGCTGCCCAATTCTTGCTCTCTTGCCTTCGATCTTTCCTTCCGGTATGGTTTTTACTAGCATGTTATGTCTTTTAATGTGGTCACAGTTTTTTAGTTGTCTATTTTTTATTTATTTCAGTAATTCTTTTTAATAGTAGCCTTTTCGGAACTTCTGTACCGGACTGTTTTTGTTTTCACCTATTCTTCTATACATACATTTCCAGTGATTCAATTTGGGTTTCTAGTACAAATAAAATCATCATCATCATGTGCCTGGCCAACTGGCGTAAGCGCTCAGGCGTCTCTACAGATCACGATCCCTGGTTGCCTGTAACAGCTTTCTTGATGATATCCCTCCATACCATTGTTTCCAGCATCATCTCTCTAGGTCTGCCTCTACCCCCTTTCCCACTGATCTTCCCAGTTGTCATGATGTTCTCCAATGTCTCTCTTCTCATTATGTGGCAAAAAAACAGTGTTTGTCTCTTTCTTATAGTTGTATATAGAGATCTACTTTCATTAAAAAATACAACAGGGTTAAATATTCTTCAACATAAAAAATAATTAACAAATGTACAACTTCTACACGTATGTAAAAACATACCCCAGCCTGCAGGTAGTGGCCCATTTGGATCATTCTCCTGCGCCTGGCTTTGTTGTTGGGGATATAAAAATCGTTGTCCAAACTGTTCCAAAGTCCGGTTGCCCCGCCACTCCTGCCAGTTGGCATAGTTGTTTAACGACTCTGTGTTTGGACGTTGCCAGGTAGTAGTTCGGGTATTGTGGTCCACATAGTAGACACGGCCACGGTCATCCACTCGTCTTTCCCACCTGGAGATCAGAAAAACTATCAGTTTCCATCACACTTCAATAACACTGTCTCATAATAAAGTTTATAGATAAACAAAAGTATCGAATGTTGAATGGTCAATTAAGAATAAAAACGTTCCAATTAGCGCTCCGTCACTTTAGCAGCAAGCACAGATTTTCACTTCTGATGTCACCAGTAAAAGGCTGCTTGTATATATGTCTCACCACACGAGACCACCTCAAGAATCCTAATAGACCCCCCCCCCCCCCCCCCCTATTTTGTTTTAAACGCATCCTTGTAATTCTCAATCACCGGCAACGTAGAGAGGGGGTACTTGCTGCCTGGGCAACAGTCTGTACTCCAAATCAAAACGCCCTGGCCTGTGCCCTGGAGAGGTCCCCAAAGCCAGCGGCACATCTCCATAGTCTCCCGGGACTGACGGATGCCATTGCATTGCATTGTAATTCTCAGATACCCCTAGAAACCAAATGGACAGAAGAAGCAGCAGAAGATATTTGGAGTCTTGGTCAGGCTTTATACAAATCGAGGGCGCTCAAACTTATAACCACAGAGCAGACAGGTAAGTCTGCTAGCAGCTGCATCAGCACAGCTACCAAATCACTAAAACAATACAAATAAACTATAACTGGAAATTTTAAAACCCAACAAATCAGCGGTCTGGTAAAGGATGTGACCACTTAATATAAAAGGAGCAAAGAAATAACTGTTTTCACTCCCTATGACCAAGAAATATATGCTTTTGTTAACACAGTCACATCTGACGTCATCATCAGTTTTTTTATGAGTTAGGATAACTCATCCCCCCCCCCCCCCCCCACCATAATTTTTCCACCCCAAAAAATATTTAATTTTGTTTGGGGTGGTGTGGGGATAATTATAATCACACCCACAAAAATTTACAGTGTGCAGCTCAACCAGCAAGTAAGCAGTTATACAGATGTAGTGTCTACTATCTAAAGACAACATGCCTTTAAAAAAAATCCAGACAAGCCTAGATAAAGTAATTTATTTGTTAAAGTAATGACCTTTTAATAAATAAGAAGTGACCACCACCTGGGACCGCAAGAGATAATAATACTGGGAGACACTGAACAGTGCTCCAGGAAAACAGCAAAAGAAAGAAGCTTTAGTTTGTGATGCACCTATTCTCCAATCAAGGATAAATGGCACATAAAGAAATAGCATCTGTCTCTATGCCAGAATCCATGACAGCAACACTGAGCATTTCATTCCAACCTGATCACAGAGTAAGATTAAAGATATTTATATTAATACTTACCCAGGAGGTAACGGTTGTGGTCTCTCCCACGAGGTGGTCCTTGTATTATGGTCAACATAGTAAGTTCTTCCGAGGGGATCTGTTCTCATTTCCCACCTGTAAGGTTAAGGAAATCGGAAGTATACAGCTGCAATTACACATATTATCTCAAATAAGTCAGTCTGGCGGTGTCCATTATCACATATTGAGTTACAGTCATGACAATCATTATCAATGCTATTACAATCTCTTTTAACTTGTTTTTACTTCTGTATCTCCATCTAAAAGTGGTATAGAGTCTTGCATGTTCTAGTGATCATAAGAGCCCAGCCAACAGTAGTTTAGATTCTGGTAGGATCTCTCAGGTCGGACACATCAAGAGGTAGGGATCAGATTCAGTGAGACAGGACTCTGTTTTCTTTTAGGTATTCTGTTCCTAGCCAAAGGCCAGAAAAGCAAGCTTAATTAAATGCTTGTCGTAATCAGAACATACTGAACCTACAATCCTCTTTTGCTGTCTCTTACAATATACATGGAACTGTAAAGACTGGATAACTTGACTACTAATAATACCCCCCCCCCCTCCCCCCCCCACTGTATCATACAATTTAAACCCACAAAATAACACACACACACACAAATATATATATATATATATCAATATATTCAAGTACAGACCCTGGTGGCAAAGGTTCAAGAGGAGCATCCACCTGGGCTGTTGTTCCGGGTGCGATGGTTGCCACACCAGAGTTTGTGGCATCACTGGGTCTTGGAGGAGGTGCAGTGCTTGGGGCTGTTTAAACAAATAAATTATACAGTTAGTTCTCTTGGCAGGGTGAAGAAAAAGTCAATATAGTAAGTTTGCTAATGGGTCTGTTTAAAGAAATAAATGATAGTTAGTTCCTGGGGTCGTTTAAAGAAACAAAGGATATAGTAAATTAAGTTGTTTGCACTGTTTAAAGATACAAATGATATAATAAGTTAGTTGTTTGGTTGTTTTGAGAAACAAATGATTCAGCAAGTTTGTTTCTGAGGCTGTAAAAAAATGATACAGTAAGTTCATAAGGCTGTTTAAAGAAACAAAGGATACAGTAAGTTAGATTTTTGAGCTGTTAAAAGAAACAAATGATATATTAAGTTAGTTATTTGGGCTGTTTAAAAAAACAAATAATACTGTAAGTTAGTTCCCAGGGTGTTTAAAAAAACCAAAATACAAATCAATGTAATAAGTTTCATGAGGCTGATTTTGCAATAATAAAGTTTTACACAGAAGGATTCCTAGGGTAGGAACCTGTCATACTAGTAGGCGCGCCCACTGAGTGGCGTCAGCCTCTAGAAATAAAGGTTAGCCGCAAATATATTGAACATGCGGCCAACAATGGTGGTGGTGGTCATTGAGAGAGGTGAGTTAGCTAGTGGGAAAGCCAGCTATATAAAATATCTCAAAACTGCTGACATGGCCAACAGCCACTTTCCCCCCTGCTCTCTTGCAGGGTATGCCTCTTTAGACCATTAGAGTTAAACTATTAATAAACCATTTATCTTTCCTTGTTACACCTAGCATAGTAAGTAAACATTTAATTTATGTGCTGACTATTTTCCTTCTGTCTTCTGAAGACAGTGTCCATGTTTGACACTGATAGCATAGCATTGGTAAGAATACTGTGTTGAACAGTGTTATCAACTTATCACAAACATCAGAAACCGACATCATTTTTTTCAGTTATGTTATGAAGAAAAAGAAGAAGAAGAAGAAGAAGAAGAAGAAGAAGAAGAAGAAGAAGAAGAAGAAGAAGAAGAAGAAGAAGAAGAACGAGGAGGAGGAGAATATTCATGCAGTTGCAGACCGCAGATTGTGGAGAGGTATGATCACCCAAGCCAGTTGGCAAAACACCTAATGATGATGATGACAGACAATCTTGAGCCAACCTTCCTTAGTTGACCCTTAGGACGTGCATGATAGGTTGTGGACGTGGTCACTGAGAACAATGCTTGCATGCAGGACCAAAGGTCCAGAGCTCAGAACCGCACCAAGGCACATGTTTATAACAGAGTTCTCAGGTCTGGACACCAGGAAAGGCTATCAGAACTTAAGATAGCCAGTGTGATATTATCCGAACTACACATCGGGTTTCGACTAGTGGACACACACTCATATACATATATGACTTGTGTTGTATAGCTAATGGCATATAAAGGCTTCTTTACCTACTTAACTTACGGCACTCCTCAGAATAACGGCTTTAAATTATCTAGGACAAACACCTACCCTTACAGGGCCTCAATAGTTGCTTCCATTTGAGTTGCATCCATAACCCTTTAGGGTTAGGGTTACGGCTAATCCTAACACTGCCGCGAGAATCTGTCACACAGTCCAACCCTGAAGCTAATGACATTGGACTTTGCAAACAAGAACATTACAGTGTTTTGCATTATTCTGTATGTAGCAAGCCATAGCAGCCCCTGTAGTTTATTATTCATTAATAGGTATTAGTCGGCTGGTCTAACATCTACAGCTGCCAGTTTATCAATCGATAGAACAATCTGTGTCGGAACTGATGGTCTGCCTGCCATATTTGCCGGAAATAAATCCATCCTAATTTTACATATCACTGAAGCCCTGTAAGGGTAAAATTTTGAGCTAGATAATTTTGGGCTGTTATACGGAGGAGTGCCTAACTTACTAACAGTAATTTGCACTCGCCAGCCACGGCAGATTAGAAAAAACAATAGCAGATGGCATGGTACCAGGAAATAGGGGGAGGTGATGACTAGCACAAAGATGGGCACAGGATATAAGCTACACCTTCAGTAGAAAAGTGCACGAGGCGGGACAGCTGGCTAGAGACTGAGTTTCTTTCAGGCAGGCTGCGATGAGAGCGATATTCTGCAAAATATTTGCTACATGATGATGATTTGTATGGAACTAGAGAACAAAGAGAGTGTACGACAAAATCACAAGTATACACACAAAAGTAGAACCTACAAAACAAAACAAAAACTCAATAAATTACAAAAAAACATGAGGTAGCTAACAGGCAGGAGACTGATGCACTTACCAGCTGGTGTGGTGGAGCTGGCATTGATTGGAGGTGGTGGCAATGGAGGTGGGGTTCTTCGTAAAGCATTTGGAGCTCCTGGAGCTCTGGGAGCTGGTCTTCGAGGGTTTGGAGCTGGCCTACCATTCTGAGACTGTGGTGTCAGAGAAGTCTCAGACAATGGTGATGAAGGGGACACATTAGGAGATGCGGTTGTTGATAACCCATTTGCTTGCCTTGGACCTTTGTATTACAGTGGCAAACTTTAGCTTAAATGTTCACAGGCGGCTTCAAAATGCATAAAAGACAACTATCAAATGTGTTTAAAATTCAGAAGACAGAGCTTCTTTTCTTTCATTTATATTTTGTCTTACTCTGTGCCGAACTGTTCATCTAATGAAACCATCACACAAAGTATTAAACTCCATAGCTTCAGCGATGACCCCTTTCAGGATTCTCTGAAAAACGTCCACTTGTGAAGCCAAGGACAACATCTGAAACAGAACTGATGCTCTTCAGGGTGTAAGGCGAATGACTTTGGATCCCCTTACCCTGCTTTTTTCCATTAGAAAGAAAAAACTGAAAAGTACTTTTCCAAAATACATCTTTCGTAACTCTTTCAGTCATAAGTTTCTTTTGCTGAATTTAACCATAAGATGCCAACTGGCACACTATCTCTGCATTTACAGCTAGGCTGCGATATCTGCACCTTTTAGACCGACAAATCCAATTTCAGTGAGAACTACTAATCAGTTGCCTTTCGCATCATGCCTGTTAGGGGATAGTGAATCTATTCCCCACCCCAAACATCCACATTGGGGCCCCAGAAGCCACATGAGGACAGTCATAATCCAATAAGTGACTGCTACTTGAACCCAAACATTGTGTAAACGGTTCTCCTGCAGCAAGACTGGGGTTGCCCAATGAACCATTTGGTAACCACAGCCATAACTTGTTTTAGCGCAGAAGATCTGAAACACCCAGCTTACAGTCCTAATCTGTCATCACCTGACCAAAAAGTTAAGATCCCTTATTACGCCTTAGGCGCATTGGGCATATGGGAAGAGCACCCCATATTTCTTACAGACTAATCAGCACTAGATGGGTAATATAGTCAGCATTATGCCGGCCGTCTTTACTTCCCCAGGACAGCCATTCTGGTACCCATTTTAGGGTGGTTCAACCTGTGACGCCCCGTACCATGATAAAAACCCACGCAGCCAGCAGTGGGTTTCCCTCGGGGTTTGTTGGAATTACGAGTCGGACTCACAACACCTAAGCCACAGAACAAAATACAAATAGCTTACCATTTTGCTGTCTTCTCGGATACTGTCTCATGTTAACATCCAGCCCATCAAGAATCAGTGTTAAATCCCCAGCTTTATTCCTCCCCTCCGCTTTCAACTCCACGGTCAAAGTATAGTTTTTCACTGTATAATCAAAGAGAAGTAACCTTAAGTAATGACTGAATTGAACTCTGTCCTAATTCATTTTTGTCTAGACTAACTTCAAATTCATTATTTTTCAGCACTTAGTTCCAATTCATTTTTTTTTCCAGGACTCAATTCTAATATATTTTTTTTTTTTCAGGGCTATTTCTATTTCCTTTTTTTTTCAGGACTCATTTCCAATTGTTTTTTTCTTTTCAAAACTCATTTCCAGTTGAATTATTCAGGACTTCTTTCTAATTCAGTTTCTTTAAGACTCATTTCTAATTCAGTTTTTTTTCTTCAGGATTCATTTCCAATTCAATTTTTTATGGACTTTCTAATACAGTTCCCCCCCCCCCCCCCCCCACCAAATCTGAGCACTTTAAGGCATACTGAGTACATATGGTGCGAGCCCCATACTTTTATAGACCAAGCGGCAACTTGGGGAGTGGTTGGCATGTCAGCCATCTTTGAAAATTCACAAAAAACAACAGTAACTAACACTGTCTATTGTCTTCAACCAGTAAAGCACCGTTCAAAGAGCCAAACAGCAAGTAAATGTATAATCTGTTTAAATCAACAATAATTAATGGCACCAAGAGAGCTGTCTGACTGCAATAAGGTTTACAGGGAGAATGGCAGATAAGAGAGACAAGAGAGTTAAATGGGAGCAGACCATGTGGCAGATCAAGAAGATTGTAGAGAGAAATTATATAGAGGCAGACCTACAAACACTTAGAGTCACTACGTGGAAACATAAAGGCAAATCAGAGAGATAAATGGAGGTGGGCGATAGCTGCAGCAAAGAATCCGAATTATTTTCTGTGAATTGTCAAAGACGGCCCATAACCCCATCACTCACCCAGCTGCCAGCAAAAACAACAACAAAAAACAGAACTAAAACAAAAATAAAGAACTTATCACTCACACTTCCCATTTTCCTTCTCTAAAATTGGATACAACTCTATCACAGAATGCCCAATGATGGAGTCTGTTCGTAAACTGTTGGAACTGAGAACTTTCAAGTCCAGTTTCGAATACGGGGTAACAAGTCTGAGGAAACATCATCAAAAAGAAGGCCCAGTTCACAATATGGTAAAAGTTGAATTTACAATGATAACTTCATAAATTTAAAAAAAATTGTTTAAAGCAAATGACCCTTTTCTACACCTTCAGTTGTATTAGATGTATAGTGCTAAACCTATATTTTATAAATTAAATTCCTAGGCAGCTGCAGGGTTCACACTTGTCACAACCTATCTGTACCTCTTGATGGTCAGTTTCCCAGCCAGGAGCAAGGCTTATACTTGTCACGACCTATCTATACCTCTTGATGGCCAGTTTCCCAGCCAGGAGCAAGGCTCATACTTGTCACGACCTATCTATTCCTCTTGATGGTCACAGTTTCCCAGCCAGGAGCAAGGCTCATACTTGTCACGACCTATCTATTTCACTTGATGGTCACAGTTTCCCAGCCAGGAGCAAGGCTTATACTTGTCACGACCTATCTGTACCTCTTGATGGTCAGTTTCCCAGCTTGGAGCAAGGCTCATACTTGTCACGACCTATCTATACCTCTTGATGGCCAGTTTCCCAGCCAGGAGCAAGGCTTATACTTGTCACGACCTATCTATTCCTCTTGATGGTCACAGTTTCCCAGCCAGGAGCAAGGCTCATACTTGTCACGACCTATCTATACCTCTTGGTGGTCACAGTTTCTCAGCCAGGAGCAAGGCTTATACTTGTCACGACCTATCTATTCCTCTTGATGGTCAGCATAGTTTTCCAGTCAGCGACTGATATTTTCTTCCAAGCTAGACCACCTGCCTGAGATGTAAAGAACCAACAGTCTGTACACAACTAAGCCAGATTTGTAAAACACATGTGCATGCAAAATCAAGCCCTGGAACAAGACTAAAGTGAAGAAGTCTATGAACAACCAGGACCTTCTGCAAGAATTTAGCCAGTTACAGTGAAGAAGAAGAGGAAGAAAGAGAAATTGAAGCTTTATGGCATGTAAAGAAAAATTCTTCTTTTTTATCTGCCTTTTATCTCTCAATTGAGCAGAGGCTCTCAATCAACTCGACCCAGTGATCCATCCTCTGCCATCACATACAGCTCACTCCATGTCCCTCCTTTTCTTTTTATTTTCATTTCCCTGCCTTATTCCCATCTCTCTCTCTCTTTCTTTTTCTGTGTGTGTGTGGGGAGGGGGTGCCTATCTTTATTCTTCTAACTCAGATTTTTTCAGTGCTAGTACATTCTAGTTACATTGTTATCAAGACTTTCTTAATGTATTCTATCCAGTGCCAAATTCAAAGCAAAGTGGTATGCTGCCAAATCACCTGCAGCTGAAGTGAAAGAGTATTTCAAAGTTATGAGCCATGTTCATGACCCATATGCCACAGATGCTGACAGGTTAGTTGCGTATCCTTTGCAGAACGTTGCAAAACCAACCCCACAATTTTTTGGCTGTTGTGGTTTTTCCAGGACAATTATATGTTCAGTAGTTAGTCACTGCTTTCTGAATGGTTAGCTCTCGGTACCGCTGTCGAAACCAACACAAGACAGATCGCCCACAGCTGGGATCGAACCCGGCACCCAGGCATTATGAAGCGCATTCACAACGCCTAAGCCGAGCCACAGACAACAACATTACCATAATATCTACGTTTGGATTAATATTTACTTAAATAATAAAGAATCACTGTCTTAGCAAAGGTAAATTAATTATTACAATCTACTAAGTACATTTGCAAACGCTAATTATCCACAAACTACTGTTTTTCTTAATATGTAAATTAATCATCTACTTATAATCTATATGTACGTTACTTATCTACGATCAACTGTCTGCTTTAGTGTTATTAATCTTCAAAAATCCACTGCCTTTATAAAAGAAAAACATACACAGACCATTTACTGTCTTTAAATATGTGATGTAATCATCTTCAATAAACTGTCTGCCTTTATACACACTACAATCATCATCTACAATCTGGCAACAACTCCTACATTGTGAAATGTTCATCCCATTTTGGGTTAAGGGTTTTGCGGCACACATCAGTTTTGCGAGGCGGCTGCCCATCTACGCTCAGCTCCAAATACGGGTCAGGTTTTGATGAAAACAGACCACCTGGAGTTGACAGCCTGGCAGAGGAAACTGCAAAAGGAAAGATAATAATAATGATTATGTTTTTTTTTTTTTTTAAATTACCCTATCCTCCGAATAACGGTCCTAAATTATATACGCAGAAAGCAATCCCTAACAGGGCCTCAGTAACGTGTCAATTGCGTACCTCTGGGGACTATACATGCACCGCCAAATTGTGAACTTCCGGCGCCTTCCGCCACCGCCGAGAGTACTTCCCGCGCGGCGTGGATTGGGTTAAGCTAGATGGCTAGGACTCACAAGCAAATAAAATGACGGCAGCTGCAGGAAATGAGGTAGCTGCCGCTCCTGAGTCCCAGCCATCTAGTTTAGCCTCGGCGGTGGCGGAGGTTGCCAAAAGTTCGCAATTCGGCGGCGGCGGCAGTCACCGGAGGCTCGCATTTCAAGACGACGGAACTGCGCAATTGACACGTGACTGAGACCCTGTTAGGGATTACTTTCTGCGTAGATAATTTAGGATCGTTATTCGGAGGATAGCCGAAAATTAAAACTAGATTTAACTAAAAACAAATCAGAGCTTCTGAAATGAAACTGCGTAGAAAAAATTGCAGAATACCATGGGGAAAAAAACTGACATCTTATATACTCCAAACATCTAGAAAAACTCACTCGCAAACAGCATCCTGTACAACAAGCTGATCTATTTTGGCCATGTTAGACATCACAGTGGCCTAGAAAAACTGGCGATGGAGGGTAAAATTTCTGGAAAATGAGGCAGAGATCGACCTTGGAAAAAAGTTAGCATCTTCTTCTTCTTTTGTTCGCTTGAAATAAATTATCTATATCTGCAATGCTGTCTCTAGTATGAACCTCACTTCTTTCATAATTCACTTAGCCGTCCGTAAAGTTTGGCTTTAACCAGTGTCTCTCTTGGCCAGAAGTTCTGCCTGGAAATGTTATATTTGGGATAGTCCTGGAGGATGTGCACATGGCTGATTCACCAGTCTTAAATTTTGTGTACATGTAGCGCAAAGGTTAGCAAAGAATAAGTTGACTTGGCCTAAGTTGGTTGAAAGCCATTGTTCCATTGGGGGATAGAGGGTTGAGGAGAAATAAACGGGTAGTAATAGTAATTATTATATAGTTATTACACTTAAAACTATTTTTTTATGCTGAGATTCTTATTATATATTGTTGTTTTCATTGCTACATAATTATTTTTATAAAGAGCTGATTTCAGGAAATGTTGTTAAGTGCAAACACTGATCATAGAATTTTCTCTAAAAAAAACTGACCTCGTCTCCCAGGTTGACCCAGCCTAAAATGGATACTAGGTAATCTGAGAAGGAAAGTTGACCAACACGATTCTGGCTGCATCATCGGCCGAGTGCCAACTGGTCCTTAAAAAATTTGAGTCTAGTATCCCTCGAAGTCAGGGTGCATCTGCCTGAGAGGCAAGGAACCAACAGTCTGCATATAAATTAGCCAGATCTGTAAAACGGATGTGCAAGCAACACTCAGGATCAGGAACAAGACTAAAAGTTCAGAGGTGGACGAACAGTCAGAATTTTCTGGCAGAGTTTACAGCTAGTCAACAAGAACAAGAAAGAAGATTCCGGTACAGCATTGGGTGCAAGCACAAGGAGAATCTCGGCAAAGTGCAAAAACCTTGTAGCATCCATCCAAAATCTAAAGTGTGTGAACCTGAATTACACATGTTATAAACATGCCTATTTGTGTGGTGGTCACTGTTTTCTCTTTCCACATTCTCCAGCTGTTTGTAGAATTAAAACCTTAAGGATGAGAATCAAACCTGAGAAAATCCTAGAAACCCTGTTCAACTGTAAAACACAGTTACACTAGGGCAAACCTTCGACTATGAAGACACTTGCACTCCAACATGGTGATGGGGATGCCTTTTTGTGTGTGGGCAGTTTTTGTCATTTGTACATTTCTGCCTAGAATCTAGCCTATCCAGCATGATTCTCTTCAACGGCTAAATGCTGAGGAATTTGCATGGAAGAACGATACGTACTGGTCCTCCAAATGTCGTGCCCTTGTATAAAATGTCCAATTGACTACCACAAGAAGAAACAGTATTATCGTTATCATCCCCTACTGTACCATTTATACATCACACATGGTTAACAGCGGACTCCATTCTGTTTTAAAAGTAGTTAAGTCGGGAGATGTAATTCAGCATCATTGCACACGGTTATAAACAAGAAGTGCTCTGCAACCAGTGTTGACAGCTGATAAGAAACTGTCTGCCTGTGTCACCGTCTGCACGCAACTCCATAGCTACAGCGACGTTCCTCGATTTACCCCAGAGTGTTAACTTTGGTACCCATTACCTAGAGGCTGGGTGAACCCCATGAACCACCCGGTTTCGAACACCGGCCCCGGGCTGCAGCGAGTCAGTATCCTGTGCAATCCTTCCGATACTGTTTATGGAATTCCGTCAAGCAAATCTGGTTTCGGGAACCACTGAGGTGTAGCGGCTAGACGCTCGCCTGCAGACTAAAATGTTGTGGATTCAGATCTGGATGGAGCTGAAATTTTTTTCAGTAATGACCTTGGCTCCCAGGTCAACCCAGCCTTAAATGGGTACCAGACAAAGTCACGGCAAATAAAGGACAACCAGTGTGATGTTGACCACATCACCCACTGAGTGCTGATTAGTCTATAAAATCTAGGTCTAGCCGTATATCCCTGAAGGTGTGCAAAAGGTCCTTTATAAGAATGCTAGATGTCTAATTCACTGCAACAAGATCAAACAGTATTATCATTGTCATATCATATTGTGCACTGTATACAAATCACCCAGGGTACACACCTGATTTCTCCATTCTGTTTTATCCTAAAAAAATCCTTCTAGTACTGTTTATGAAATTTGATCCAACACCTCTGGTTTCTCTTCTCATCTATAAAAGGGTTTCTCCTAGATGTCCTTGCTTGCTCAATCCACCTGTTTTTCATTTCAATATCAAAACTGTGTGTCATCTCCACAACGAAGGTTGTCTGCAATGTACTCACTACTACCTTTGGAATATTACATGGTCAGTTCCTAAATCTCTTCCACTGTGTAACTCTCATACCACTGTCTGAATGCCACAACAGCAGCTATTTTATTTACATAAACTGCCCACCATTAAAATCAATTTTTCCAGGTAGGATAACCTAGTCAACTAATGTCTGCAGAAGTTAAATATGCTGACAAGGCGCAAATATTGCAGCCATGTTGTGAACGGACACAATACAATTACATCTTCAGATGAACAAAAAAGAAGAAGAGATCAAACCCAAATACATAGCGGATTCTGTGAAATGCATTCTGCAAACTCTAAGGCCCACAGCTGCACAATACCACATGAATCTACCACATACGCCAAAGAAATAGTTGCGCTCATATTCCAGCTAACATCCAAACGAAAGTATGAGCACCAAGATATAGATTATAAACAGCATACTCATACCAACACTGTACTACCAGTGCCAGACTTGGACATTATCAAATGCTATCCTACGTAAAATTAACACCTGAGAAATGAGATGCCCGAGAAAAGCCTAAAACTTAACCATCGGAGACAAAGTTAGAAATGATATTTTCAGACAGACTGTGGGAACAACATAATGCAGCAAATTCATTCAGAAACAGAAGATCAAATATTCTGGTCATCTAGTAAGAATGCAGACAGAACAACTACCAACACAGGCACTACAAATTAAAAGATCTGAAGTGAAATCAAGAGGGGCCCTAAGAGAATATGGATTGATGACATTAAAGAGTTTCTTCAATGACATAAAATGAGAATTGCCATTGCTGCCCATCAAACAATGGATCACAACTGTTCCTCCCCACAACGCTTAACGGCAGAAGTGGAAGCTGATAACGACCAAAGAAATAACTTGCCTGTCACAACCAGCTGTGATAGTTGAGGAGTAGTAACTGCTGCGGGCGTCTCTCCCATGACTAGCATGCAAGCACTGTGCTACACACAAAACATAACTGTATTCTGTGGACAATTGAGAAGCCTTTAAATAAATGAGGGCAGAATGTATTGCAAAATCTTTTACTTGACAAATGTTGTAGTAACTCATCTGGTATATACTACAGAAATTACATAAACATAACTGTATTCTGTGGACAACTGAGAAGCCTTTAAATAAATGAGGACAAAATGAACTGCAAAATTTATTACTTGACAAATGTCGTTGTATCCCATCTGGTATATACTACAGAAATTACATAAACATAACTGTATTCTGTGGACAATTGAGAAGCCTTTAAATAAATGAGTACAAAATGTACTGCAAAATTCATTACTTGACAAATGTTGTTGTAACTCATCTGGTATATACTACATAAATTACATAAACATAACAAATATAAAAACTTGTGCCATCTCCACCATAAAGATTGTCTATAGTGCACACAGTGCTGTTCTTAAAAATATTATGTAGACAGTAGTAAGAGAGTTGCATGTGAAAGAGACTAAGGCTATCTCTTCCACGGTGCAACTCTCATACCGCTGTCTAATTTTTTCTCAGTGGTTGTGATTTCTCTCAGATTGTTTTGTCCTCCGTCAGTCATGGACTGCTATTTTGCGTGTGTCTCCAATGCAGGATAGACTTAAATTTTCAGGGTGGCAGCATGTATTGTGGTTGTGCTACGTTGAGGTGGGATGATGACCAATATTTTGTGCAGCCTCCAGCCCATTGTTCTCGCAATGATTGTTCACACAAGATACTTTAACAAAGATACTAACAGAAACATATACATTTACTTATCAGTAGTGATTGCTGGCGACTTTAAATCTTTATATATTACAATGTTAAGCTCTGATGCAGAGAGGAACAAGAATCACAACCCATGGTGATCCTTTCCAAAGCACAAATCCTGGGCCATATTGAAGACACTATGTGTTTCCCATGATGCAAGATCTCTTGGCTTGTCTTAATTAAAGGTTAAAGTCAAGGGGATCGATTTTACTGCACCGTATTCTGTCTTATATGGCTCAGTCTCCCTCCACAAAACAGCTATTCTCCTGCCGACAGCATTGCTCAGAGCACCAACTCCACAGCTCTGGTGATGATTCTCAGTGATCTCTGTAAAAACTACATTCATGAATTGAACAACGCAGCCATGAAACAAACCCACGACCTTCAGAGCGTCAGGCAAACGGCTTGACCACTTTGCCACGGCTTGTCTTGTTTACTCCAAAGGAAAGGTAATACCAACAAATTTAGAACCAAGCATGCCACAGAAGCTGCCAGACCAGAAGAGCAGAGCTCTGTTTGTCTACATTTCAGAGCTTTCTTCACTCTACCAGCCAAGCCTAAGAGTCTAATTATAAGTGTTATGTATAAAATATTTTGCGAAAAATTCAAGGGATTGGAGTTAGTATTAGTTGCAGTGTTAGATAAAACTAATGTTTCACATCCCAGATCCTGCTTATACACACACTAGGTCACTTCTGATTGCTAGATCTTGGCACAAGTTTACGGGAGTTTACCGCCATTGATATCGCGTGTTGTATATTTCAGCACGCTGGCGTTTTAAACAATCTGGGTATAACATAACGCCCCTATAGAGTACTGCAACTTATGTCACAGGCATTCGCTTGTTTTGAGTAAAAACGTAAATGCAAGACAATCCAGAAAGCAAACAACAGAGCTGCACACCCGTAACCTGCTGGAAAGTAGACCAGCCCAACAAACTTGTGAATGAAACGTGATCTATTTTGTTTGGGGAGACTAACTTAAACCTAACTCAATGTTAATATATTATACACACATTTATTCCTGTCAGCCTAAACTAGTAGCTATCTTTCAATAAAAGAATCTGTAAGAGAAACAAATTAATACAAAGGTTAACTCGTTACCAAAGAATTCATCATATGTTTATTTAGTCTACACAAAATCTACTATTTTTGCTTTTCTTTAATAACACAGCCAATCATATTAACTCATTCTATACTAATTGTAAGCCTGGCTCATTCTGATCCAGTGTTATTTTAACTCCCTAATACTTCCTCCTCCTTTTTAGCATTCAAAGGCTGTAAACTCCAGTGGGAAGTTCTGGTTGTTCCACCCCTTCTTGACTTTCATTTTGATCCAGAATCTGAGTTTTGCATGCATATCTGTTTTACAGACTTGGCTTACTTTTGTGCAAATTGTTGGTTCCTCACCTCTGCTGCAGACGTACTCCAACTTCGATTAAAACACATTTCACTGGTCGCTTCCTACTATATGCTTGTTACGGAGATTACTGGGGGCACTGGGTATATTCTCTTTTTCCCCTATCAAAAGGGTAACCAGGAACCCATAAGAAGAATTTAGCCTATATAAAATGTACTACTTTTTCTTTCTCGATGACATCTGATTTCAAAAACTAATTGTATCCTAATTCTATGATAAGCTTGTTCTATCCAGTTTTATTTTAACTTTTTCAGACCAAAACACTGACTGTTCTGATGAAGATTTTAATTGTATCCATTATAGAGAGCATTAAAGCAACTCTTCACTGGTACCGAAAGATTTAATATCTGAACTTGTTTAGTGATAGGGAGACTAGAATTAACAACTACTAGAATTAATTTTATCAGCTCTAATTTTCTTCACAGTTTTTGGCAAATTAGATAAATTTCATGGAAAAAGCATAGTAGTTGCTATTGTTGTGATGGTTGTAGCAGTATTAGTAATTTTAGTATAATTATTATTATTAATTTTAGTAACCTACTTAGCATAAGTCTTTGTATTGTGAGTATAATGCATATGCCCACCTTTTGATAAAACCTAATTGAAGTGTTATTATAAACACTCTGACACAAACTTTTTCTTGTAACAGATGGGGAAAACAAACATAAACTAATCTATTTTTCTAGAAAACTGACCTGGGTAGTAAGTGCTATTAGTAATACTACCATGCAGACTGCAAAGAATGTGCTTCATGGAAGATGGCTGGGGAGGGGGTGGAGGCTGGGGGGTAGTTGAAGAAGAGGATGGCAAAGAAGAACATGGAATGACAACATCAAGAAAAGGACAGGACTAAGTTATCAGACACTTATTCATCAAGCAGAACACAGAGAAAGATGGCGGGTTTTCTGTGCTAGTGTGTCCATCAATACACCTCCATGACCCTAACGAGTCGAGGGTTATGTTATGTTAGATGGCATCAGCAGAAGTAGCAGAACAGTCAGGTATTGTTTTGTTTTTTTCTGGTGCCTCTCAGTATCTGCAATATTTTAAGCATCATTTTCAGACACTTTGTAGTGAGCACCTACGGCTTTTCTAGAGGGGGGGGGGGGGAGGTCTGGTATTAGGAGGAGTGCAGTAATAGTGACAGCAGCATTAGTAGAAACAGTAGCAGTAGTAGAAGTTGTAGCAGAAGCAAAGGTACTCATGGTAGTAGTAGTAATAGTAGTGGTAGTGTCTGGCTATTAAAAAAAGCAGCAGCTGAGCAGCAGCAGTAGTAAGTAGTAGCAGCAGAAGAAGTACTAGTAGTACTAGTAGTAGTACTAGTAGCAGCACTAATAGTGGTAGTGATGGTAGTAGTAGAAGTGGTGGTGATAGTAGTAGTAGTGGTGGTGGTGGTAGCAGTAGTGGTGGTGGTAGTAGTGGCAGTAGCAGTGTTTGGAAACAATCTAATATTATTAAACACCGGGTTCTATAATGACTTGCGGATTTTAAAACTAAAAATACAAATTAATGTATTATTAAATATCTTAATATCCTCATTAATTTTTAAACATTCCGATGTACACCCAGATGTCATTATTTATTTATTAATACAATTTCACCTAGCACCACCAACCACAATTTAGTTCCTCGTCTGAGGTGTGCAGGAAGCAAAAATTGAGCTGACGACACAGAACTATTGATGTATTCTCTAGGTTGTTTTTGTGTACCAACCATGTTTTCGTCTCTGAACATTTCAGAACAACAAAAATTAAAAATCATTATTAATATTAAACGTAGTCATATATTCATATCACAATCGTTACCGTATTCAAACAGATGTAGGCATCACTATAGTAATGTATATGTGTATCTAGACGTGGATAAATTGATTAATTGTGAACGCTAGTAACAAAATCCGACCGATGAAGTGTTTCTCTTCACCTGAGTGTCAACAAACAGCCGACATATGTCCGCCCATTACTGATCATGTGACCTATGACGTAACGTCCTCTCCCAATGTGTCTCTTTTATATAAATAAATCATTGTTATTACTGCTGTTATTTATTCATTCTTGTATGACTATTGTGCGCGAAATTTTTTTTTTTTAATTAAAGAAGAGTTTTAATCATCTTTCCTTACAAATGACTGGGAGCTAAATAAGTATAAGTCACCAAGTTATCTTGCCTTATTTTGTAGATGAGGGTATAACAGACAATTATCAACATCCTGAAGACATCGAAAACTCGGAGATGACGCTCTCTTAAAACTTGCCACTTATTGAAATTAGAGCCCAATTGATGAGCTCATGCCGGGGTGCCACAAACTAGGAGTTTAATCCCTCAAATCCCGATAGCCCTATTCCGAAAATGCTGGGACTGGGAGTTTAGCCACACCTAGAAAACGCTAAATGTCCCCTCCCATCTCCAACCATGTATAGACGCGCTCTCTTTTTATAAAGGCCTATTTGTTTACACAGTCATATATATATATATATATATATATATATATATATATATATATATATATATATATATATATATATATATATATATATATATATTGATTTGCCATTCAGTACATTATTATTATTAATATTATTATTGATCGGTGAAAGCATAGCAGCTAGGCTCTCACCTACCTGCCCCATCGCCCTGAGTTCAAATCCCTAGAAAGTGTCGTTTACAACAGTGTTAAAAAATGCTGCCTTAAAACACATTACCGGTTAGCTTTTTTTCCGTTTCTCAACGAGAGTGTAGTGGACCAGACAGTAAAGCGGTTGGCCGAACGGTTAATGGC